AAAATCTTGAAAATCCTTTATGTTGACTAGAGGGAAAACACAGTTATACAGGAAAAAAGTTTGACTCTGAAAAGTCATCCATTTTTTCTCTCTGTGTTCAGTTTACCTTATCAGCTTATTAATAGAGGAGAAACGAATCGCTTTTCTTCCACAGCTGTAGTAGCTCTGCAGGGACCTTGGAGATGAAAACTGTTTTCTCTTACCTCAGCCTGTCACTTTCTTCTCTTCTCTCAAAGAACAGTGCTATACTGCTTGAGCTTTCAATGCAAGGTGTCAGGCTGGAACAGGGCAGGCATGGTATTTCCCCTTGAATTTTTCACTTTACAACTGGTATTGAGGCTGTATTTAAAATTATTTAACCTACATGCAGCTTGACAGAAAGCTGGCGCAGCAAATTGGATGTAAACTGTTACTTAACTCCTTAAGATGCTGATGCAGCCATTTATCTTGTCACAAACAGGTGCCCACCAAGGCTGCTCTGCCTGGGCATGGTCACAGATGTAAAACAGATGCTGTCTTGTTTCTTGGTTCTTGTAGTGACACAGCTTGTATGTGACAAACAGGGCTTCTTGTCACTTGTGCTTCAGTGTTTAAATCAAATTATAAGAATGTGAGGAAAGACCATAGAGTAAATCTGCAGATTTTTTCAAATTATCCAAACCCCCCAGCCCTGTTTTCATGGCATTTCTAAGAGGACAGCCTCAATGTTTCATCTGGAAAAAAGAACAGTTAATAGAATTGAATTTAAATGCTAGTATTTCTAAACTTTGTATCAAAAGCAAAGCAAAAGTAAACTTTGTATCAAAATCTCAAAGCAAATACCCCAGAATTATGAGTCATTATCATCATCTGTATCTCATCAAAATCTTTAGCTGGGAATTACCAAGGCAGAAAATTAAAATGCTCAGAACAGATACCACCTGGCCCTATGCAGACAAAGCTTCCCTTGAAGAAAAAACAATTTTTGGAATTACTATATCATGGGATGCCCCCAGTTGGCCTCATTAAGGTTTTGTAAGCCATTGCATTTATAAAACATTCTGAAAATGAGATTTAATGAGATTTATGTGCAATAATAAAGAGAAGAGTAAGATGAATAGTAAGATTCAGTGAGTTTGTATGTTCTTCTTACATTCAACAATTTAACCTAATGAAAAAATTCATAACACTCTGAAAGCTACTGCCAGTATTCTTAAAAAAATGAAATCTAGTCACTTCGAAATCATTGGAAAATAAATAAAATAAAATAAGTTTTGTTTTGGTTGTTTCCATTACTCAGGTGTCTAAAATTTCTGAATAACAAGAAGTCTGGGTGTTTAGGTTTTTTTACCCATCTGACATCTAAGCACTTACTTTAGAAATTCAGGGTGCATTTTTCTCTTCCTTAGTTGATCTTCCGGTAAAAATCTCCTAGGTAATCTGAGGCTGAGTGAGCATTTGTAAGTAAGACATTTAGGCTGTTTAGGCACCTTGCTGGTGTATTCCCACCAACTGGCAACTTCAGCCACTACAGCAACCCAAGGGTTTTACAAACCCTTGGTGGCACACCAGGCAGGTTTTTCTGCACCCATTTGGCTCCTCACCCATTGCTTTGTGGGTTTGTGCTGGGAGCAGGTCAAAGGATGGAGCAGCACCTCATTACCTGGCAGGACCTGCAGTAGTATCAATACCACAGTGTTAAACATGAGAGCCAGCTCATTTACCCCCTCTCTCTATTTAGCAGCTTGTAAACTCTGAGATGCACAGAAGGGGTTTTTGTGGACACAGCATTTCCACCAGCACTGCTAATGGAAGCAGTGAGAGCACAAGGTAGAGCAGCCTCCTATCTTCACAGATGGGAGAGGAGCTGAAGCCCCCAAAAGGGCAGTGTGGGGAGCGGGTTTGGTGACATGACAGAATCCCAGTGCTGACCTGGTCCATGCCAAAGGCCACCACAGGTGGTCCACAGAGGAATTGTGGGCACTGAAGGAAAAAAGATGCTAAAAAAGATAAGATACTGATATTTACTGACAATTACTGTCTCCAAGACTTGCATGGGTCCTCAAAATAGAGTGCCTGCATCTTCAAAAAGTGTCTGCTTGAAGTTAATCTCAAGAGGCCTTATAGGCACAGATGTAAGCAAACTGGTTTCTGGGGTTGCTGAGTTCTTGGCAGAGCTATCAGGCTAATGAATCCAACCTCTTGTTTATCATGCCTAATAATAATGTATGTTTGATTAGGGTGATTTGCTAGGGCGGTAGCAGGACTAAGCAGGCTAGCTGCTGTGAGGCATCAAAGTGCAATTAACCTAGTCAAAAAACATCCAGTGGTGTACTGTTGGCAAGGTATGTGTGAAGAAGGCATTCAAGGTAAAGAATTAAGTTGAACAGATGATTAAGAAAATGTTCCCTCTCAACTATAAAGAGGCAAAGAGAGACAGAGTTTGTTTCATATTTACCTGATTCAGAGTGTTGGAAGAGCATCTATAAACTAACAGATTCAGCAACAATTGCTAAGACTTCCCTACTTAAAAAGTCCTTTGGAAGGAGAAAGGTTGGAGTCTCAGTTTTCCTAAGCTCTGGCCAAGACTTGGTGTGAAATCCTGGTTGACCTGAATAGTAACAGCTGCTAAGAAGCTATGACTGGAAGTTGCAATATGTTTCCTAGAAACCAAAGGCTTGGGCTGAATGATGAGAGAGCAGAGCCAGAGAATAAAAAATGCTAGAAACAATCTTGTTAAATGTTAGTGTTGTCTCAGTTGCTAGTATTTTCCAGTACTTGCTCAGTCAAATTAAATGCTGTTTAAAGCATTTGTAGTACCAGCTTATTGGTTTCTCTGTGCAGCTAATACAATAAAGAGACATAAGGGTATAAATGTAATACCAGTTAATTTAATTTCATTTACTAGCTATGACTGAAAAAAATCAATGTTCTGTTTCCAGTATGAACCTGTATTTTGTTTGCACTGAAATCTAAAGCATAGCCCTTTCCAGAAAAGGAATACTTCCTCGAGGCGTGGTCTTGGGTCTAGCTAATCACAACTTAGTTTTAGTCAAAACTTGCAAGCTCAGTGCTGAGCTCGCTGAGGACAGCAGTGGCTAGCAGCAGGCAGGTCTCTCAGGGTAAACTGTGCTAGTTCTGGGCAGGTAGGGCAGTTCCCTGGAGCACGTGGAAGGTGGGCAACTACACCTGAGCACTGCCTGGTGGGGTTCAGCTTCACTGGAACTATGGAAGCTACTTAAATCTTTTTGATTACTTCCTCAAGACTGTAGAGAACAAGCAATGTAGCTTTAGTAAGGCACACCAAATATGCTAATGGTCTGCTTTTATGTGTGGTTTGATATTTTTGAATGTGGTAGGTAGTAGTGGAGGAGGCTGTGCAAGTGAAGAGGGGGGAGATGGGGAGTGCTCTAGTTCCCACAGAGCTGCTCTTTTCAAACATATGCTGCTGTAGACTGTGTTGCTGAAGATCCTTGAGGCTTCTCAATAATTCTTCAGCACAGAACTTCTGTTTTCATATTTCTCTCAATTTCTGTCTTAGGGAATTTTTTGGGGAGAAAACTGTTGAAAATTTGTTGTTGTTCAGATGTTGCTTTATTGATGAAAACCAGAGATTTACATAAAATCTTTGTCTGGGAATCTTCCATCTCTGAAGAGTAGATTTTAAAAATCACCTCTTCAAAATAATTCTTTTTCCTTTTAACTTTGCCTATTATTTCCTAAAATGACATAAAACCACATAATAATGGGGAAACAGCCATGGCTTGAAATGTCAGTGGATTTCTTTTTCTTGGAAGAAGGCTAAAAAAGATTGAGAGAATGAGAGAAAAATGTTTCTTAAACTGTAAGTTTAATTTTATTTTTCTGTATTTTAATATCTTCTTTTTCCAAAATAGCACAATACTAGACATTAATACATATTAAAAATTATTAGGGAAAATAATCCTGTATATATTCTATTGCTAAATTATAAAATTATCAGGTCATCGGGGCTGTGGGTGGGGTTGACTGGATGAGAATTTATTTGTGAACACTTATCTGTTTTTTGCACTCAACTGGAACAGAAGACTCTCTACATATATGTGTGAAAATGTGTCCCTCAGCTGGGTATCTAGAATAAATATGTAATGGGCTTTTTATACCAAAATCTTTTGTTCCTCCCTAAAGGAATTATTTCTATGTACAGGGGATAAGCCATTTATCTGCTTCACATTTTCCTAAAATTATTTCTCACCCTTTATTGTGAAATTATGCATCCAAAAATAGGCTGGTTTGATGCTGGTATGAGTAAGCCTGCTGCTGCCATTCCATGTGGAGAAAGCATGTAGCATGTCTACACTTGCACTTCTGATGAGTTCACTCCTACGTATTTCCTGCATGGCTGTGAGAGCTTTAAGCCTCTCCACCCTTGAGGTTTTGTTTTTGAATAACAATAATGATACTTCTGGGAACTTTGGGATCTGAGGACATTGCTGTTTGATAGAGTTTCTGATGATGTTTGAATTCAAGTCTTGGAAGTAGCCCAGATACATGTCCATCTATCCCTACTGTTGCCCTGCATCAGGAAACTGTAAGGAAATCAGTGATAAATTCATTCTAATTTTAATCTTTCTGACAAACCCTAGAGAAATCCTTAATATGTGACCCAGTTTCTATTTCTGAAATATTATGGGTTTAATCCTCTTTCAGTTTTGTCTAATTCAAACTGGGGATTGAACACTGCTATCTAATGCAGTCCAGTACTGGCAAAATATTGGTATAAAAGCAGAAACAAATATTTTCAAAAAGCAAAGAAATTAAAGAGGAAATCTATAATTTGCTGGCATAATTTATTAATATATACCATCTTATTTTATTATCAACTCTCCTGTGACAATTTGGAGTGCTTTAGACTTTAGCTTGCATTAAATGAAAGGTTTCAGCAAAATATCTCATGCTGAAAAGGTGAATGTCATAGCCATTTTATAGATGCTGAAATTGCATTGCAGACTACTCAAATGCAGCAGATTAATATATAATATAATATAATATAATATAATATAATATAATATAATATAATATAATATAATATAATATAATATAATATAATATAATATAATATAATACAATATAATATAATGCAATACAATATAATATAATGCAATACAATATAATATAATGCAATACAATATAATATATACAGATGTTTTATTTTTGGCATTACTCAAATTTAAATGACTCATTGTTCAAATGTCTTGTCCATATACCTACACAATTAGGCAAATGGGGTATAGGGTGTGGTTGCCTACTGGGACCATTAGGAAAATCCGAGTCCATGTGGTTTAGCTCCATTAAGGGCTACAAATGGTCATCTTGGAACTATTTCTCTTTTTAGAACAAAATGAACACTGGCCAGAAAATTACAAATAGCACTTTAGGACAAAGAGTTATTATAATCAGTGCATTGGATTTTTCTCCACATATTTGTTCTACAATCTTAAATATAAACCAGGATACTGAGATACAATGCTGTCTCCAGAAAGGCCATGTGGATACAAATCCAGTTTATTGCCTTAGTATGGGATTTCAGAGATTGTATTTGTTTCTTCATACAGTATCAAAATAATAACACCCTATATTTGGAAATGTGATTCCTTGTATTTGCAATGAGTCATGCTAAGAGAATTTCTTATTTTTCCTCTCCCACCTCTTCCTGAGATAATTGGTCTCTCTGGTGTTAACTGGTGTTTTACCAGACTATGCAAACATGTGAATAACCAGAAAGACAAATATACTTACATATTTTGGAAAAAGCTTTGTGCATGTATTTAAGTGATTTAAAGAATTAGTATCCTGATAAGATCTGTGTGGTTTGAAAACATTTTAGAAACTCACAGAATAACTGTGGGGCTATTATTGTTTCCCTATTGTGCGCATTATCTATTAGGTTTCCTTGTCTCTAATAGGATCATACTCATCTTCATCTTTGCAGAAATGCAATGTTCTCCAATGAGATTATTTAATATTATCCTGAAATCATTAAAATTTTCATACTGCCAAGTTAAAATAAACAGATGCTTATCTAGCCCAATGGTTCCATTGTTTCTTGGTGTTTTCATAATGTGATTTTCACAAATCACAAACATCATGGGACTCATCCCAGGAGATGTTCAAGTGAAAGCAGATTATCTGTAAAACATTCCCCTTTAGAAACCATACCTCCCATGTCATAGTCATTTAAGCAATTTTAAATATCCTGCTCCCTCTGTTTCATCCCTTTTTATCAGAATTCTTCCAGAATTCTTTATTTCTTAAGAAAATATATTTCCATTAATTTTCTGGCAAAGTAATTAGAGGGGTAAATCAGTAGCTAACTCTGACTGCATTATGGTGGTAAATCCTCTGCAGTTCCATTTCAGTTCTGTTAGTGCCCATACCCTCCCGTGTGCATGTAGAATATGGAACTGAAGAGTTGTCCCTGCTCAGAGCATGTTCTGCCATAGAGGGCAGGTATGGAGGGTCCTGCTGACCCCCTTTACAGTGCTAGTTAACAAATAGTGCCAAATGGAGAGGGCAGTAGCTCCTTCCTGTGCTGTTCTCATTGCCTGCATTTTCTTTACAACTCCACGTAAAGTCTGTTACTAATTCAGTAAAGGATACAGATGTTTCTGTGTGGTTGTATTTTCTTAGGAAACATCCTATGGGTCCAACATGATTTCCTTTTGATTGCTTCTTGCACGTCCAGCAACAAGAAGGTCTTTTTAACTTTCACTGTAAGAAGGATGGCATCAAGGCATGACATTTCCATAGTCAAGCCACTTCAGAAGCAGAAATTAACAGTCATAAGACACTGAGATAGGTAAATATTGTTATCTCAGCTTTTCAGCTGGTGAAATTGAAATAAGGAGGTCAAGGTCAACATCTTCCAATTTAAAATTTATGGTTGGACTTCGATGGCTAAATTAATGACATTAATTGCAAACTTTTGAAGCCGATAAAATCAAAAAGATGACACATTTTCAAGAATCATGGAAATCTGAATGCTTATTTATATGCCATAAGTGTTATAACCAAGTTAAAAGTTCTTGGTCCAATTATTAGGGCAATGTTAAGTCATCATCAAAGATATCTTCAATCTTTTTAGGTTTTAGAGTTTTGTCTTATGTACAGCTCTAGATACCTGCATTTGCATCTGCCCCCTATGTTTATTTTCATTTATGCAGCATCAAAATCTCATAAGGAAATTTTCCTTAAATACTGTAGTTGCTCTTAAAATGAAGTTGTACTTAGATTTCTCTGGTTTGCTTCATTACAGTCTGTCTCACATTCATGAAGGAACTTGCACACTAAGTGAAGGAAAAATTACCATTCTGTGGGTAGTTGTGGAAAAGATGAAAATAGGCACTTTCCTCATGAAAAGAGGAAGGAAAGAAAGAGCATCTTTCTTTCCCAGAGGAGAAGGAAGGGACTAGTAGGGAAGGGACAGGGCCAGAGGAGGCAGCTCTCTAGAAGAGGGCTTACGCTCGCCTCCTCTCCACATCCATGCAGTTCTGTTTGAAGGGGCTCCAGGCATGGTGGCAGGTGCTGATGCACCACGAGCTGTAGGTGTGCTTTCACCACATATGGGTAATTTGTTAGTGAGGTGCTGACCAGATGGGTCCCCAACTGCATCAATGCATCGATTTTGTACTCATCACTTTGGGCTCTTAAAAGCTGAGGAGGGGGAGGTTAACTGTAAAACTTGAATGTTTTGTGGTGATTGACCCTTTTGGTTCTCTCTCTCACATTAAGGCACAGGGCCAAAGCAGAGGTTTTTTCCATTTTCAGCACACATGGCACACAAAATGCAGACATGCTGCCTTAGTAATCAGCAGTGGAAGAAGACAGGTGTTCCTTTAACTTAGCACATGATCTGACTCCCTCTCATGCTGCATATTTCATCTCCTGGCAGAGGAGTGGAGGAGTCAAGTCATGTATCTCCTTTTTCATTAGTGCCTGAAGGAGGCATGTCCTGCCTGGAGGCACGGATCATCCTGATCATGTACTGCCCCACATGTGGCCAATCAATGAGGGGAAGCACAAGCTGGGGGCTGCTGCTGAGGCAGATGATAACTCTCACATCAGAAGCCTGCAGTTAGTATTTTGGCAGCCTGGGAAAGGTACATGCTTTGCCTTAATTATGAGCACAGTTAGTTATATTGCTTGTGAAAGTTTCATTACACTAGTTAGCATATTAGCATTACAAGCAACATAATGAAGCATAATTGGTACATGGGTTCAGTGTGAACTAATTGATCTGAAAAAAATTACATTTCAGAATAAGAACAAAAATAAAAACCTTGATGTTTCCTAGAAATTTCCAGGTGGGATTTTATTTGTAAAATATTAAGATAGAATTGAGGACTTGCTAGCAAGATGATTTAATTTTTTGTTGATTGGTTTATAAAAATGGCATCTTGCTTATCACCCAGAAAGGAGATTTACCTGCGGGGGCCTCTATATTGAGCTTTGTTTGATTGGAGACTGATGAAAATGTTGGTTTGGGAATGAGAGGATACATCATGTTTATAAAAGAGAAAATGCTGCTAGTTTTTGTTGTAAGGGTAAGCACACTCAAGTAAGCTTACTGAGAGAGGGAAAACCATTCTAGTTACCAAAAACTGTCAGCACAGCTATAAGGTCTTGCTGTACAGTTTGCTAACCACAATAGATAAGTTTTTGCCAATCAAAAATAGTGACCTGGCATACAACTTAAAACCCCCTTCTGTTGCACTTCTCTTGTTCTTAGCTAAATTAAAAATACCTTTTCCAATACTGAAAAAAACCACATTGATATCTAACATTTAATTTTACAAATTATCTTGTTGCTTACCCATATCAAACCTACCTTTAGAACATATAAACTTTTCCTTGTGTCAGTGCCAAAACCAGTTCCCATGTTTCTGTAAAAAAAAAAGGTCTACAATTATAGTTGTGAACGTTAATGAAATGCTCGTTAAAGAGCTAACAAATATTGTCATTTAAATGGGCCTTGCTACTAGCAATTTTGGTCAGATTCAGTTATTTTTATGTGTGCAAGCACCAACATTTTTCTGGGGAGAAAATCCTTTGCTGATGCCATTGGATGACTTCTGTAGCAAGACGCAAAAGTATAAAATGAGCAGAGTCTTTTTAAATGAGTATAGCTTGGATCAAATGCATGTTTTCAGCAGGTGCCACTGGTTTTATACTATACAAGGTGTATAGTATAGTGTATAGTAAGTATTTGAATAGCAGGGTCCTGACAGTCATAAAGTGAGCAAAGTGAACAGGCTTTCCAGGTGATTTCACAGCTGGGAGGCTGAGGAGTGTGGCCAGCACCATCCCTCTGGGGTGGGGAGGAAGGCTGGGGACTGGCCTGGATGAGGGGCACTGAGAGGAGCAGAGCACATAAAACGTGCACCAGAGGGGAGAGCCACATTGCCTCGATGGTCTGTGTCTATCTTCCTTCTCTCCTGGGGTGACAGCAGCAGGTGTTTCCTGGGATTCAGAATTCCTTCTAGTGACATCCTGCATGATCTTCACCCCATTTTATTTACCTCTGCCTAGTAAATCCCTAGTCAGGTAAGACAAATTCTTTATTCAGGTAAGACAAATGTATTAATAACACTTTAAACCACTTCATCTCTGCAAGAAACACAGAGCTGAGAGCTGTGACAACCAAGTTCAACACATAATTTGCCCATTTGAAGGTTTTGCAGTGAGTCATTTTCGGGTGTGTATGCCAAGTGCACCAGCACCAGTGCTGCAAGAAGCAGAGTTTCTTCCTGCGGGGTGGTGTCGGCTCAGCACAGATGGTGCAAATTCCCAGCAGTGAATCACCAGGATTCATGCAACAGGTGGGTTTGCTTCCTTCAGGGATGAAGGAAGAGCAGGAGGGGCAGGCTGAGTAAGGAGACCTCCCCTGCCCAGCACTGCAGCTGAAAATGACACCAGGCAGTGACTCCCAGCAGGGTATGAGAGAAAAGGAATTTGAACTTTTCATTAAGTCAATAGCTCCATGCTGTCTAAATGGCATTTAGATATTACATCAGCATTTAAGCTAATTACAAATGTGGAGCAGGGGTACATTTCTCTGGTGGTGCTCCTCTTGTCTGGCTGAGAAGCAAGGCACAATGTGGGCAAAGTCCCTCATTCCAGAGGAGGGTTTCCTTCTGCACATCAGTGCCAACAGTGTGCCCAGGCTAGAGACTATGGAATAGGGGTTACCACCCAGGTCCACATATCCAGAGAAGCAGACACAACTGGAGTGTAACAGTGGAAGTTTTAGCAAAGGCTGCTGCTGAAAGACACATTAAAGGGCTTGGAAGTGCTTTGAGATCCACTGGGAGTAACTTTGAGAACAAGATATATACTCATGGGAAAACATGCTATGAATAACAAGAACAGGCCATGATCCTGAGTAACCGTCTTGTTTTGCTCATGATGTCTCATGATGTTCTCCTTTTTGCTGAAAGCCAAAGCTCCTGAAATCATCTGCTTAGCTCTAAATGTCACTTCTAAACTGGAAAGATGAGTAAAAGTAATGGTGAGTCTGTTATTTCGCATAGCTCATGATTTTGAAGATAATCTAGTGATTTATGTTGCTGAGTACAGGATCTTTGAAAGTTTGAGTGTGGCAGTCCTTGAAATCTGTGAATCCACTGTTGTGCATTTTCTACCAAATCCTGCACAAATTGGAAGCAGTCCCCAGGTTCATCACCTGTCTGAGCTAATTTTTCTTCAATCTGGGATACAGATCCCACTTTCCCAATGCTTGCTGATGGATACAGTGCAATAATATCTCAATGACTTCTCAGGCCAGCAAATAATTAGTAAAAACTCTGCCTAATTTGAAATTTTATAGTTTGGGATCAGTGTTTTGGAACCTCACTGATATGTGAAGAACATGTGAAGTACACACCTAACATGGGAGTAACATTTTAGTAGTACAAGAAGAACTCCCACATTTTATTGCCCTATTATTCTGATGCATAGGTCAAAATAATCCTTCAGAAATAATAGACAATCCAATCCATAATCCAACAAGTTTTTGGCTAATTTTCTGGATGTGCTTTTAAATTTCGTTCCTGTATTGGAAGCTTTTCAGGTGTGACTTAAGGACATAATAAACTGATTTCATATAGGAAGCCTCTCATAAGTGGGGAGCCAGCATCATTAGCTATAGATCTGTGCTGGACTTTAAGGGAGAAGTTACTGCAGTTTGTGATCAATATCAATCTTTCCATGACAGAGGTTCAGCCACTTGGGGCCAGATATAATTAAGTCGGATTATTATTTTCCCATTAAATGAAACCTTGTTTTGTTACTTAAAAGTTCATGACACTTAGAAAAACTTCCTTAGATTTTAGGAATGGTGCTTCTATGACTTTGGTTTTGGTTTTTTTAGCTAATTCATTTTGCTACAATTGTGCTGTTGTGGCATATTAAAAAAACTGGTGTCATCTCTGAATGTGGTTATTCTGTAAATATTATGTATTTATATAAATATTATTCTGTAAATATCATATTTCAGCCCTTTGAACCAATCTAACTAGTGATCACCAACTGTGTGTTTCTGGTTCTCAGAGAGCCTTGATTTCTTCTTTTCAAAGACCTTGACCCTTTTTACAAAAATGCTGATCATTCACTACTGCAGCTGAAATATACCTATGCTGGACAGAGAAAGCATCTGTGAAATTCTTAAGATAAAAGTGAAGGTAAATAGGCACATATATTAGGTATCTAAATACATTAAAATTGTTTGCCTGCTGTGAATTTTCACCTCCTGTGGTATGCTCTAAATTAGTAGACACTCACAACTCTGTGCATCTCCTTTGAAAAATCTTTTTTAGTGTGAGAAAAAAAAAATATTTCACAGTGTGGCATTTTCTTTAAAAAGTCAGATATCACTTCTTCTACTTTTTTTTTTTTTTTTGCCAGGAAGTATGAAAGTTAAGTAGAGAAGAGTAGTAAAGTAGTTTCTGGACTATCTTAAAAAAATCGGAATTTCTTCCTGACTGCCTTTACTTGTAGCAGACTCCAGTTTTTAACAGCCCCCTCTCCCCTTCAAAAGTGTTGCTTAAAACGTTTTTTTAATCATGATTCCTCGTGTTCTTGGCATTCTGCCGTGGTCCCTGATGAGGCAGTGACACACCATAGCTTTTCCTACCTGTGCCATGTGCTGCAGAGATGGAGCACCAGGGCTCAGCTGCTGTGGGCCAAGATAAGTAAGGTCTTATCCTCTGTGCAAAGCAGCTTCTTGGGGAGGAGGCAGGCAGGCATCACCCGTCTCACTCCATTACACAAGAATTTGTGAGACATCTGTACTTTACATAATGGTACCCAGCAGTCCAGGCAGCATTCCTCATCAGTAGATAAGGTCAGTGTTATCATCCTCGATTTACAAATTCTGAGTCTGACTTTGAAGAAAGGGCATTTTTCTCCTGGTCAGAGCAACGGTTAAAGACTAGACAGCTTGTGCAAAGATTTAAAACACTTGAGCAGTATGCCTGAGTGAACAAGGCTTATCTATTTAGTGCTTAAGACCTGTGGCTGAATCCAAAACATACCTAAATTATCCTTGGGTAACTTTGCAGTCATAAAATTAAATACTGCTAATTACCTTCCTGTCTCTGATGTGTTATATTTTGGGCTACAGAGCAAGCAGTCCCTACAGATTGATTTGCTTAACACTTCACACTAAGACCTTATCTTTAGTTGCATGTAGTCTGTGTGTGTGCACAGCTGTGCAGGTTAGGATTTTCAAGACTGTCTGAACAGCTTTATCTTTTAAAGAAGTGCTTCTGAAAAAAAATTCAGCACAAATTGAAGTTTGGGGAAAATATTTTTAAGCACATCATGGGGGATTTTCAGTCTCACCCTGATACCAGAGGCAGGCTTTAAAGTTGCCACTATTATTTCTTCAGTATTATGCCTTCAGTCCTTTCATAGCCCATTCCCACAAGCCCTCTGCTTTGGTTCTGCCCCTGTAAAAGGAAACAACGGCACCTCCTTTGTGCAGTTCTTCCCGTGTTTTGCCTTTTTGGCTTGCAAACTCTTGAGCCCAGAGTTCCTGTCTTAAATATACTGTCTGGCTATTCTGCACTCAAATGTTATTCAAGAAACTTGCTGTAGCTTCACTGCAAGGAGTTTGTACTAATATAATATTATTATAGGCTTTTTGATCAGAATTTCACAACATAATAAAAGAAAAATACATTTAGGAAGAAGAGTGTGTAGGAATGATCATTTGTTTGACCTTAATCTGTCATTGACAAAGCTTTCCGGCTGCACTGTATTAGCAGATGGATAATGGGATCCAGCTGAAATTACTTGCACAGTTAAGTACTTTATTTTCTCATTTTCTTACAGTGAGAGTCTCTAAGAACAGGGCTGGCATATAAACACTCAGTACATTCCTGCATAAACATGTTGGCCTCATTGTTTAGATTGTTTCAGTGAGAAGCTGAGCTGCTGCCATCTCTTCTCCCGTGCTTTGGGAGAGGAACAAAAGCTGGAGCCAGGTAGCTGCTGTTGTTTCCCTTGGGGAGAGTGGGGAGTCTGGCACAAAAGTGCAGCACCTCATTTGGGACAGATTCTAAAGGACAGGGGGAGGGAGGTTTTTCACAGACTTCGCTGGATTTTGGATCATCTTCAGGGTTTTTATCTTAGAATAGCCTGCAAAGCTTCTCTGCATTGAGCTTTTCAGTGATGTCTTTGTGCTGTGTAGAAAGAAAGTAATTAAAAGAGAAAATTTACCACAGCAGTAAACAGATTAGAAATCACAAAGTTCAGAGGAAATAGGATTCAGAGATAAAACCAGAGAAAACAATAGAATGAACATTCATTTTGCATGCATATGATCTTACTGCCTATAACTTTTGTTAACAGGTTAAGGAGAGCTCTTGCAAAGATTTTTATTAAAGTGTAAACAATATGAAGAACAAAAATTATCAATGCTGCTAATTACACATCTTCTGATGACTTTGACATCTCTAGAAAGGAATTCCTCATACCACAACAGGATAAGACTGCATAGTTTTTGTCAAGATGACTACTCCCCTAAATGACTCAAATATTATTAGAGCAGAATTAAGTGATGTGCAATTTCTGCCCGTGAGCCAAAAATAGTCTCTCATTTGAACACCAAGATATAGACGGTTATTGATTATAAATTAAAATATTATAAGCAAATTGTGTACAAAGAAAGGGGTGCATCCAAGGGTTTTGTTCATGAATAATGCATTTATTTATTCCAGAATGATATAAAGAAATTTACGTCAATAAGAAAATTCCATTAATGATAATAAAGATGCTTAGTACTTACAGAAATGTTCTTGTGGTAGGAAATTGTCATTTGAAGCTGGCTTCTCTTCTTAGCATATAAACCTGGCATAACTGTTCCCAATGACAGAGGGTAATTTTAATGCAACTAAATTGAAAGAAATTGAAAGGCAGGTTAGATTTGATACTCCCATCTCAATTATATTAATTCTGCTTATATAAACCAGAGACAAAAGAAATTCACTTAACTATGCTTTATTCCTAACAGAATCATGGGTAAATGGCATTCAAAGAAAATTTAAAAGAGAAGAGCAGATTCCCTGCTTAGAGTTGTAGAAGCTGAACAGAAAAGGGATTTTATTTTTTTTTTAATAAGGAAAATATGCAGCAACCAGTGTATATTATAACAGCCATAAATTTTGTAGGTCAGATGGTGGTTTGGTGATGTCTAGTAAGTCCCTGGTGTGGTTAACTGTGGGAGCACTATGGCCAGGTGGTCGGACTACAGGCAAGTAAAAAACTCTGGAAAGAACACAGCCCTGTGAAGGTAGCACAGAAACAAGTAAGCTATGGCATGAAGTCACAAAGAAATAGAATGAATATTGAATAAAACATGTGTTGAATCAGGAGCCACAGGTATTTCAAAAAGAGACACAAAGCTTTGATCAGTTTGATACCCCTAAATTACTTCCTCCCCTCAGGTGGCAGAACCTGCAAACATAGAAGCCTGGAGTCTTGCTTGGCTGGTAAAAGCCAGGGAATCTCAGGAAAACAGGAAGCTGGACAGGACAAACGCAGGTCTGAACCAATGTAGTTAATCAAACGTTCTCCCTTTATTCGAGATAAAATGGCAGTTTATATAAGCTTCTACATAGTTTACAGTTACAAAGACACTCTGATTGGCACACTAACATTATTTACCTTTTCCTTAAGGTGGTCAGACTTTTCACACTGCAGCTCTACTCTAATTCATGCTCGGATAGCTGATTACTTTGTAATTACCGTAACATAATTTCTTTGTGCGCCACAACTGAATTCTCACTGCATCAAAGGCTTCGAGACCCCATCAAGGCTGCTTATCAGGCCTAGTCTGACTGGGTAGCTCAAACCTCATTCCAAACATAAATCATGACCTCTGTCTCTCAGAAATTCTGTAACAGCTGGTGGCTTGCCCACACCTTTGCCATTCAATTACTCCAGGCCTGAAACAATGTGGTGCTGTGCATGACCTAGTGGAACCTATTAAATTGGGACTGGGATACAGGGCTCGAGCAGGAATTTAAAGACTTGGAAATTTGCTCTAAGGTTCAGTTTTCTCTGCTTGCAAATATGTATGTTTTAGTGAGGGCAGGGCATCCGCAACACTTCTCCTACTGACACTCAATGCACACAAATCAGCTCCAATGACAGGTGTGGCAAATCCTTCTAGATTGCTTGTGGCTACACATAATTGATAATAGAGCAGTGGCAGATGGGATATTTTTTATTTAACTCAAGGAAGCAAACAGCATAGGTTATGTCAGCAATAAAAATTACATACTGTCATAGCAGCAACCCTAAATGTTGATGAGCTCCCTAAATCCATGTTGCATGAATCTTAGGATGACACAAGGCCCAGAGCATTCCTGTATCCGTCAGATGCAGGGAGGGAGGTGGAATGCTCTCTGTCCACATCAAAAAACATAAAGGGCATGAGATTTTTACATGTATATCTGAGACAGTTGTGTGGGCTCCAGCTGCAGTCAGTGGAGTCTTAAAAGGGGAGTCAGTGGAGACTGGATGTGACTGCTCTCCACTGACAGCATTAGATGGATCCTACACCTGGCCCAGATAGAGGTACTGCGTTGTGGTCATCAAAAATTCAGGAATAAAAGCCCTACCCAGCTTGTCAGCAGTTAACCTAAATATTAAAGCTCTACCAAGGCTGCAGAACTCATTGGCACAAAGAGGGATAGTTACATATTTCTTGTACAATTGGACGCTGTCTTATTTGAACACTACTGCTGGTCAGAGCTGGTCAGAACCCATTAAAGGGTAGAGAAAAGGTGCTAAAGATTATGCATGTGAGCTGTGAGTGAGTAAGAGATGGTGAAAATAAGTATTCCCTGTAGAGGCACATGGAATTTAATTTTCTTTTAAAAGGTACATTTTTATCTTCTAGCAAACTTGTAGTGTGATGTCCGTTGATCTAGTGTAGAAAGTTATATTGTGAGTTCAGGCACTGAACCAGGTGTGAAATCATGAAATTATTTTTGTTTGTTTTAAGCTAACGTGTGTGAATGACAAAATTACTTGCAAAAACTACACAAAACTGCAGTTTTGTTGGATTTAACATTAACAGGGAACATTTTCTCTAGTTCTGAAGAGTCCCCAGACTTTGTATAAATCAGCAAGCACTGGCATTTTTGTAATGTCACTAATGACATTTTGGCCAAGAGGGTCTCAGCTGACTTTATTTACTACAGAATAACACAAGGCATGTCCTGAGGGCAATTACTGCATCACTGGGTTTGTTTACATTACTCTTTAAGCTGTCATCCTCAGCAAGTGAAATTAGCTGTCCAGTAAAACAAGATCTTTCATTACCATCTATCCTAATGCTTAATGTAGGAATAATTCTCTGGGACGTTTGTTTTGTAGGGAGTAAACAAAATATTTCCTTCTCAGTGGGGTGAATAAAGTTACCATTGTCAAATGTTGCATAACAAAGGCAACTGTTTTGGGGGGAATAACTGAGGGAAACTGACATTGATCTGATGCAATGTTGCCAAGGTTATTATATGGCAAATTTAGCAAAGAACATATTATTCCAGGCCCTTACAGAATTATATCCACCAAGGGGCCAGTTAAGAAAGTAAAAATCTCTTTCCAGGAGAGAGAGGACCACACTGGGTATTTGATAACAGCTGTGCTGTTACTCAAGTGATGGTGATGGATTAAGCCAAGGTTAATGTAACATAGCTGAACTCACAGCTACTGATACAAAGAGGAGGGAGGTCTGGTGACAAGGTTACCCACTGTACTGCTCTCTGTAGAACAAGCAGAGTGTGCTTACTGTAAGAGTTGTACGCTTTAATCACAGCATCCAGTCAAGTTGATTGCTTTTGGTGTCAGTATTCAGTGCTTTGGGCATAGCAAAAGAGTATAAAGTGCTCCCACAGAGTCAGAGAGGTTTTAACAAAATGTCTAAATCACTTATGAACCAGATTTGCATCATGACTTGTGGGTGTAGACCACTTCAGGAGTGTTGTGAACCTGCATCCAGGATATTTGGCCTCCTACCAGCAGGGCAGTTCAGCCACAATTCTGAATGTGACCAGCATTTTAGGACAGTGTCATAGTGTTAAATATTCCACCTTAATTACTTTTTTTCCAATGAATGTATATTGCTCTCTTTCTTCTGATCAGGTCAGTCTCAGTGGGAGGGGTGTGCTGCTACACAGCGGTGCCTTTTGCCACGTTGTACTCCTAAGATCTTCATATGTTATTTCTTCACAGCACAGGCTGTGTTAGGGCAAGGCTGTGTTAGCCCTGATATCCCACTGGTCTCAGAATAGCATAATTAGAGGGCTCAACGTAATAAAATATGCTAAGAGCCAAGGGATGTAAAAAAATAAGTATCTGACATCTGAGCAAGGCTCCAGTGCATATGACCTGTGGTTTCCATACTCCATAGAGGTTAACTATTTGTCTGTAAAAAATATTGTCTCAAATGACATGTTCCCCAGGAGGTTCAAATGCTCCCCTCTTCAACTGCATTACTTACTCCCTTCTCCATTATGAAAAATTGCATCAAACGTCACTGGAGAATAAGGTAGTGGTAAGAAGGGATGGAGCTGCTCATCAGTGCAGGGACCATGACCCATGACTCAGCTTCCACAGGCAGCGAAGGTGGAAGAGACAGTAAAAACTGAGGAGGGATGTAATAAAAAATGGAAAAGCAATCCTGACATTTCTTTTCAAATCCAGATGGTGACCCATTTCTCCATGTGAGAGTTGTTTGACTTAGGAAAGATACAGCTTTGTTAATATTTTTGGGCAAATGAGTAACCGGGATGGCTCTGGTTTTTTGTTTGTTTGTTTATTTGATCAAAAAGAAAGTTATAGAAGAACAAGTAAACAGACCATGACTTTTATCAGGCTGACACCAGTGCAAAGAAAAGGGGCAATTAGATGCAGACACAAACAGGTTGCACCAGTGGAGAGGTCAGTACAATGCTCCTTTGAAATGCTCATCCGTTCTTGTCTAAACCTAGTTGCCTGATTTTCCTTTGAACTGTTTAACAAGTGTGTGGCAGCTGGAAGAGTCTGGAGAAAACAGAAGTCATTCCACCACGTGAACTGTTCATCTGCAGTGGTAGAACTCATGGCATCCAGAGGTGCAGCCTGGTCAAAGGCACTTGGTACAAAGAGAGAACAATTTGCCTTGAATTGTGCATCAAATAAAAGTAAAGCATTCCCTGGAATGTTGGTGTAACATAGAGAAGAAACTAAATAATTCTGGACCACAAAGAGTTTAAACAGGCTTCAGAGGTATTAATTAACTGTATGTTAATTAATAGTCCAGGTATGCAGAGCAATTGTTCCATAGAATCACAGAATTGTTTAGGTTGGAAGAGAGCTTAAAGATCATCAAGTTCAACCATTAACCAGGACTGCAAAGCCCACCACTAAACCATGTCCCCAACACCACATTTATACATTTCTTGGAACACTTCTAGGAATGGTGATTTCACCACATCCTGTGGCAGCCTGTTCCAATGCCTGACCACCCTTTCCATGAATAATGTTTTTCTTAATAACCACTCTAAACCTCTTCTGGTGCATCTCAAGGCAGTTCCCCCTCATTCTGTCACTTATTAATTTCGAGATCAATACCCCCCTGGCTACAGCCTCTTTTCAGGCAGTTGTAGAGAGCAATCATGTCCCTCCTGAGCCTCCTTTCCTCCAGGCTAAACATCCCCAGCTTCCTCAGCTGCTCCTTACAAGACTTGTGCTCCAGCTCCCTAGTTCCAGCCAAAAGAAGATTAAATAAGTGATTTGTGGTCCTGTTTACTGCTTGTTTTCCTGACTCCCCTGGCATTTGTATTTCTTTGCTACAGGATGAGTATTTTGCCTTGAACAGCAGAGGTGAAGGTCAGTCTCGGCATTTGCATGTCCTTTATGCC